CCTGTTTAGTAATGGTCCCTCGGTTGGTATCTATTTGTCACCCATTTCCTGCCCAGTTTTCGACCCCTACTTGGTGTTTAATAAATATTTGTGAACAAATCAATCTGACATTTTACTGCTATATATTCAAACAGAGGTTAGAAATCATAGCCACATTCTTGTGGAAATGTGATGGATAAAGAAAAAGTAAGTTCTTTAGTCTCCATGGGGGGGGGGGGCGGAGAAACATTTTAACAAAGAAAAAGAGTAAGTAGTCATGATTAGTTTACAGTACTCTTATTTTTCCCCACCCTGCTGAAACTTATGTCACCTGAATTGAGGAAGGTAGACACCTTTTCTAATTTACATGTCCTTATTTCACTGAAATACCAAAGGAAGCTAATTGATAGAATTTCGGAAGGGTTAACTTATTTTTCTTTGCTTAACATGTGCTGTTCTGGGCACTAAAACAACACCCACATTTCATTGTCATTAGTAGCAAAGACAGAAAATGCGATTATCGGTCATTGCAGATAATGACAAGGACAGAATTTAGTTTTTGAAGGCGAAAAGCCGCAAACTCCTTGCTGTGTTTTATTATGCATAACTGAAATTCTTCCCAGTTACAAGTGTCAAGTCCTCTTGATTGCATCAATATGGCTTTGGAATGGGGAGATGCGTGGACCACTCAGTGCGAAGGAACGCTGCAGCTCCATTTGGATTTGCTTTGAAGGAATGAGAGTAAATCTAGAAAGCGTGCCTTTTTGTGTGTGTGTGTAAAAGCCCTGCAGGCATTTCATTCCGAACTTCTTGAAGTCCATAAGGTAAATTCGTTTGCCTTGTTGTACAATCTGCCTGGCTTGGACTTTCCTGATGGCTGAGATATTCCTTTCTTAGTACGTTTGATCACCCAAGGAGTCTTGCGTGGACTTCTCTTTGATGGTTTGTATTCTCCCAGCCCAATGCTCCCTTCTGCCCGGTACCTTATTTTCCACTACTTCTTGATTTGTTTTGTGTATTTTATGAGTTCACCCCTTGGGATTTATTTCCTAGAAGAATGACAAGAATGATCCACATAAGTCCATAAGAGAGGTTGTAAAATAAACATTATACCATGTGTGGGGTAAAAAAAAAAATTATTGCAAATGGCTGTTCTCACTTTCTGGCATTTACACACATGGCCATCTGTTTGAGGGCTGTTTCGCTTGGCTCGACCCCAACATTTATGTAACTGGCCAACTGAAAGGAAATGACATCACCAAGTTTCCTGAACACTATCATTGGAGCCACAAAAAAGCGTAGAAACAAATTGCTTAGTAAAGAGAAAGATGTTTTTCCAATGTCTCCTTTCTTTTCCACTGTTTCTTTCTTTCTTTTCCCGCCCTGGTATTTCTTACAAAACTTTCCCTCAACCTCTGCTCATTCTGTGCAAATGCTTGTGAATATTTTCATTATCTGCCTTGGGGCTTCTCTGAATTATGAGGGAGCTAGAGTGGGGGGGGGGAATAGACTCTTTGTGGGCTCTACACAATATGATCCAAATGTGCTAAAAAGTAAGGAAGCTTTTGGACCAACCTAACATCCAGTCATAGACCCGACTGATTTCTTCCCTCGAGTGAGAGTGAGAGCAGACTTTGAACCCGTAGCCCCGGGATTGAAAAGATCTGCGGTAATTCTCGCAGGACCTAACCTGTTCTGCTACCAGATGGATGCTCTGACGGTCCCTTCCTGCTTTACTGCTCAGCCACAGAGCACGACGGGAAGAGAAGGAACATTTGGAAAGTAGATCATGTTTGCTGGCAACACCAAGACATCAAAGCTAGGAATGGTGGAGGTTTTTATAGCGTAGTTTATAGGTCCTCTTATCCCAATGTTTCAGTAATTTACACCACTGGACCAAGGAGTCTTTTCATCTGATTCCAAAATTAAGCCCTCTCTAGGGGAACCCTAGCAGCTGTTTTGAAGGCTTACAAGTATATGGAAAAAGTATTAGCGTTAGAGCAAAGGATGTATACCTGCTGTTCGAACTTTCTCCGGAGTTCAGAGCAAATAGAGGGTGTGTCTCAGCAGCAAACTTTTTAAGCTCTGATGTTAAAAATAGTTTTGGAATATTTCAGTGCCTTCATACAATTCCAATCTACTCATGGTCTCCTGCTCTACGGGACTATTGAGTTGCATCACCCTTAAGCAGCATCCTTCCAAGTTGAGATGGGAGCATTACTTGAAAAGTGAGTCCTCTTGGGACTACCTGGATGTGTTAGAATCTCCCTGCTCTCCTCCTCATCCCTTTCGCATCTTTTCCATCATCTCCACAGGGAGTAGATTCTGTTGGTGTCTCCCCACATTTCCTTGGCCAGCTGGTGCAAACGCCCCTTGGGTATTCTGAATTCTTTCTGAAGCATTGTATAAGAGACATTTGGGAAGATAGAGGAGAAAGATTCATTGCCTTTTCCCAGGCAGTGTCATGCAGGCTGTGCCAAAAAGCAACGGACGAACCATCCTCAGATTGCTCTTCTAGCTTCCAAAATGTCTCTGGTGCTATTGGGTCTACACCAAGTGACAGGCTAGGTAAGGATGTCATGTTGTAATAGTTAATTGACCTATCTAGTAAGTCTGCTATTATAAACATCAAAAATTCTTTATTTGGCCCTGCCATTGTGGCTCAGTGGTTGAGTATTGACCTATGAACCAGGAGGTCATGGTTCAATTTCTGGTCAGGGCACATGCCTGGGTTGTGGGCTCGATCCCCAGTGTAGGGCGTGCAGGAGGCAGCCGATCAATGATTCTCTCTCATCATTGATGTTTCTCTCTCTTCCTCTCTGATACCAATAAAAATCAACAAAAAGATATATTTAAAAATTCTTTATTTGTTTGAATTACGACAATGAGCAAATTGTACATGTGTGTGTTTGCAGTAAGTATACATCTGAATTTGTGGACATGTGATTTCAATAATAAAGTATCATTTTTTATTTTAGTGAATTTTAGATTTTTGTTAACAGCATAGAGTCTAGAAGAGAATCAAGAAGAAAAGGAGACATATAGAAACAAACAGGGGAGGGGATCCCCAGAATGACTGAGAAGGAGCGGAAAAGCAGAAGGAAAGGGGTCAGGACACACACCTGGCAAGATCTGGCAGCAGTAAACACTTTAACAAGAAGCTGATTCAAATTCTTTATGATCAAATAGGCCATTTTCCTTTTGTTGCTTCTTTGACACCCACGCTCCTAATAATGGTGGTCTTCTCCAATGAGGTACTTCTACCAGCACCATTTTTGTTTCCTCTTTTTTTTTTTTTGGTATGGTGCTGAAGTCTTAACAGCTTGATGCTCATAAATGCCAAGAAGTCACATTTTACCGCACAACTTTAATGGGATACACCTTATAAACAGAATAAAATTTGCCTGGCCGGTGTTGCTCAGTGGTTGAGTGTGGATTCCTGGTCAGGGCACATGTCCATGTTGTGGGCTCAATCTCCACTGGGGAGCATGCAGGAGGCACCCAAGCTATAATTCTTTCTCATCATGGATGTTTCTATCTCTCTGCCTCTCTCTTCCTCTCTGAAATCAATTAAAATACTTTAAAAAAATACAATTTGAGGAGTTTCAGGCTTGTCCTACATACAGAAAATAATTTGACTAAATCTTATCTTTTAAAAACTATTCAATTCAGTCAAGTAATTTTGGCTTTTGACTAAATTGCGTGACTTAAAGGTATTTTTCTGGAGTCACACAGAGCTTAATTTACCTGTGCCCCTTGTTCTTGCCTTTTCCTGACTACCCGGAAATATGTTAGCCTTCAGGATAGTCACTGCTGGGTCACACTGTTAGCTTTCATATTCTCTAACTTATAATTTAGAAATTTGATATGCCTTAAATTTGAATTGGGGGTTACTAATGGTTAACAAATGTGCACCATGTTTTATCAATTCCCCAAGATTTGTTTTTATGTGGAATTTTTATGTGAGGGGACACCTTTAAGTGGTGATCCTTAAGGCCATTTCTTACTTGTGCTTGACCTCTTCATTGGGCCACTGAATTATTTACAAATACGGTGTCCGAGACAGGCACCATGATACCTATAGAGCTCAATTTCCCCCCACCCCTCCCTCTCAAGGTATAGGAATTAATATGATGGCTCTAAATGACTGGTGAAATAAGAGTTAAGCCAATGGCTATTCTAGACATTAGTGTGGAAAGACTTTACCCAGTTGCCCAGCAAAAGCAGTTTAGCTGGGATTATTTTATGTGGCATGGATGATTTAAAAATCAACATCCACTAAACACATAACAGGCACTATCCATGATTATAATTATATTACATATAATCAGATATACATAATATATGTTATGAATATATTGATGAATTGTACATATATATGTAGTTTTGGCACACCCTGCTTTAACTATGTGTTAGTTCCTTTTCCTCTGACCATATAAAATGAAGTAAGATGGCTTAAAACATTAATTATAGAAGCCAAACTTCTCTCAGTCATGCAGTGTCCTCCCTCCACCCTGCCGCCTCCACTCTGATTTTTGTGCATTTGGCATACCCACTTTTCTTTAATGAACAGAGATTTCCTTTCCAAGAAATGGGCTGACTCCAGGGTGAAAAGATGAAAAGCTAGTGGGTAGTGGAAACCTTTGGAGCAGCGGTTGCCAACCCGTGGTCTGTGGACCGCTGGTGGTCCGTGAGGTCCAAAAGCGTGGCGACCGCTGGTCTAGTTTACCCAAGTTGATTTCTTCAGGTGTATGTTACATACATGCTATGACTTTACTGGTAGCTTAAGGCTCAATTTTGTCAGCAAAACTGACAAAAAAGAGAACAAGAATGACCACTAAGAAACAAATACGTATGAAATGACACTGCTGAGAATTGTTATACTTTCCCCCACTTTGGTAGTAGAAGGACGTTTGTCTTGCAAAGGCAAAACCAGCAAGAACTTTAGACTTTGGCTTAAACATTAAACAGAAATACATCCACTTAGATTTTGTCCCCTGAACGAGTCGGCATGGGTTAGGGTTCAGCCTCTGGAGGAGCTGGTTGGATTTCTTACGTATGGAAGTGGCGAGAAGGCAGTTTTGTCTTTTCAGGACGAAGGTTTGACCTAGAGGAAGTAAGTGGCTTTATCTCTGCGTCTAAAGATTAAGGAGGATGAAAAAAGCAATTACAGCATCCGATACTGGATTCCTTTTGTTTGGTTCACAATTTAAATCATTTGTTCACAGTTGGTCACGAGACCTTCCGGCTCTATTCCTTGCTAGAGGCATGTTCTTTCAAAAACAGGAAGTGACACTTTAAGTAACTGCAGATTTACAGTGACTACCGGCTGATCCTGCTCTTTGTGGCTGCTTTCCTGTTTCAGTCCTGAGCAAGTGGCAGGGAGAGATGAGGGAGGGTCGGGGAGGCGACGCGGGATAGTGACTGGTTAGACCCAGACTGGCTTCTCCTCAGTGGAAGAGCGATGAAAACACTTTAAACAGTTGCCAACAGTTCAGTAGAAAGTATTTGACATCTCACCTACATCAACACGCAAGAGTTAAAGGTTAAGTCACACACACTCAAGGGCTGGGGAAAAGGATATGTTTATGTCATCAACTTTCTTTGTTCTAGGTCAGCCCTGTGTCAACAAGGAGACACATCCCCTGGCGGGAGCCACCAGGACAATAGAGACTGATCCACAGTTTATGCAGGAGTGACGAATCCCCTTGCAAGCATCTGTAGCTTGCTTCTAGTTCATGGGCTTTGTCACAATTCTTTACATGCTCCCCAAACCTATGTATCTGGAACAGTGTGGAGATGGCCTTTCATTTTTCTTCATCTGGATTCTTCAGCCCAAGCATGAAGCTTAGCTTAGAAGGAAGAAAACCTGGGGAGGGGAAGGTTTTTTTTCTTTTTCTTTTTATACATTTCCTGTGTTGATTCCAAACTCAGGGAACACCCACCCTAAAATCCTTTAGGTCATGGTGGGGTCAGGGCGAGGTACTTACATAACTGGTGCTCACACACTGGAAGGCCTTTTCTGGAAAGCATGTAGTGCCTTTCACATGGACATAAGGAAAGGTTGGGCAGGAGATTTCTTGATGAAGTCAAAGGATTTAAATTAAAATTTGTGAAACAAAAAAAAATATACCCAGGAGAGCAATGCTAAACTATTGCCATGGAGACCAACAGGTGAGCCATAGCTGGGGGGCGGGGAGGGGGGGCGGGAAGGTAGTATAAAAAATGCTTCTCATATGTTGGCAGGTCAAGGTCCCTTTCAGAAATGTGGTGCTCGCTATAGATTATCTGCTTGCAGTAAATTTTGTGCCGATGTTCAGGAGAATCAGAGACTCCATAGAAGTCCTGGAGATCCATGGGCCTCGATTAAAATGCCTCTGATGTAGGAGGTCCTTGTAGTATTGGGGTACCAGCAAAGGTAGCCCCGTGAATCCCCATCATAGTTTGAGAGTTAAACTAAAAAGCAATACACAATAGGTAAAAATAGGTATAGTCAGAGCACCTTTAAAACTAAGGGTCTTGTAAAAACAAGGCCCTGAACTCCCCAAGTTCAAGGCTGCTCTCTAGCATCACAGTTTCTGGGTTTCCTATAGGTTTTGTACACTCAGTAGTTGCGAGATTCTTTTCATATGTTAATGCTGTCATTTAAGTTACAACGTTGCTTGCTGTTATTTCTGGCCAGAAATAACATTGCCCCATCTATGGACGTGTTATCTTTCTGGTCCCTGTGTTAGGAATATGTCTAACTTGGAGATGGAGACATGAAGCCATCATCACCGGATGCCATGAAATACTGGCAACATTTAAAGAGCATCAGGTTGTTGGGTTCACCAACAATCTGATCCATTTCCATGTAGCATTACGTTATTGTGGGAATCTTGAAATAAAAAGTAGATTTATTATTTCTTCAGAGCTACAGTGGTTTTTAGGCCTATTATTCAATGCTTTAGAAGAGAAAAACGTGTTTTTATTACTATTTTTGATAACTGCATTCCATTATAACTGGTTTTCTTTGGAATATTTTTTAATGCATTTAAAAACATTATTCCGAGAAGTAGTCCACAGGCTTTGTCAGACCGCCAGATGGGTCTATGGCCCAAAAAGTTTTTTTAAAAAAACACCCTGACAATGAGGTGATAGAAATAAGTTTTCACTGGTGTTTGACTAGCATTCAAGGAGGGTAGATTTGCGGGAAATATTGGAAATGTACCCACTGTCCTTGCACGAATGGCGACAGTGGCAGATGTCCTGAGTTCAACAGAAGAGTCTGTGACCTGGTCCAAAGAGAAGGCTGGATGCTCCTGTTGCTAGAATGCGACATCTGTCTGAGCCAACCATTGCTGTGCGGTGCTTGTCTGAGTGCTGGAGGCAGAAGCTGAGCCTTTCCCAAATTAGTAAGCTCGTGGGACTGTATTTTGTGTGCCTCGTTGCTATTCAATGCTGAAAGAGTGTCAGAATTTAGATTGAGACTTGCTTTTGTCCCAACGGTGTGGCTGCCGGAGAGGGAACCTCTAGCTCTATCTACCTGTGACCTTCAGAGAGAGAGAGAGATCCGACCAAGAGAACCTGAGAGGTTTTATTTGGTTGTTTTGTTTCATTTTTTCAAATGATAAGAAAACATTTATTTAGAAAGCTACGTAGGTAGTAGTGAAAGGGCGAGGGCTACGCCCTCCATCTTGCCCCAGGGTAAGTGCTCCATCTTACCTTGGCCATGTGCTTGGCAAGGAGCTTCTTCCCGGAAGTCTAAGCCTCTGCTAGCCACACCCAGGAACAAGACACCGACTTGCGCCTGGCCAATCGGCAAGGCCACAGCCCTTTCTCCTCCCCTTACTCCAACCCCCTAAAACCCCCTCTCCACACAGAGTTCTCTCTCTCTCTGCTTCCTGTCGCTGCGTTGGCAAGGTGGGGGAGCCGAGCTAGCTCGAATAAAGACTCTTATGCTTTTGCATCAGACTGGCTGGCTGCCTGATGTGGTTTCTTGGGGATCCTGAAATCTGGGCATAACAGTAGAAGTTAGCGGCTGGGCTGTGTAGGCTTAGGAAACAAGTTACAGAAGCAAAGGCAGGCCCCTTGGAGCTCAGGAGAGGGAAAGGCAAAGGGAAAGCCCCTGGGGAGGGGTGGGAAGCAGGGGGCGGGGCTGCCGTGCTCTCCAGAGGGAGAATGTCAGGCCTTGAGAGTTTTGAGCAGCAGGATTGGCTTATGTAGGTTAGCTCCCACTTTCTTGTTGCTTCAAATTCATCTGAGAATTAAACTGCAGTGTTTTCCATGAGCAACTAGTTTGTTTTTACTTTTCCAAACTGCAAATCTCTTGTGTTTTCTTTGCTCTTTGTGTTGGCTGTTTGAGAGTTAAAGAGTTAAATCTGTTGCCCGCCTGTAGCAAGTGTATAAAATTTCACAGCATAACTTATGTGCTTCGATTTCATTCCTGGGAGGCAGCATAGTGAGTGATTAAGAGCATACGCTGGGAGACAGACAACTTGGGTTCAGATTGGCTAGTTCACCAGCCCAGTGACCTTGGACGTGTTACTAGTACCCTTTCAAGTTCCTTATCGGTTCTCCTAGGGGTGTCTGAGATTGAATGAGATAACATGTGTAAAGCATTTAGAACAGCCTCAGGATCCTAGTAAGAAGGAATGCATGTTAGATATTATTTCTGGCGGCATCTTATTTTCATAGATTATTTTTGTTTTGTTACTTCTTTTGTTCATTGAAATCTTGCTACTGTATAGCATACATGTTTTGTAAACCTTCTAATTCCTTTTGACATCCTGATAGCAGTATGCAGGATGCATTTGGAGAGAATGGGATTAGAACTATAGAAGTCAGAAGAATCTAAGAATAATGCATTTGATAGAAGTTCACCAAAACAGTAGCAGCAGGGATGCAGAGAAAAAGAGGTATTTATGAGATTGAGTTGACAGGACCTGGTGACCCATTGTATGTGAAAGGTAAATAATAAAAAACCTCCCAGCTTGCTAGTTCAGATGACTCGGCAAATGATGGTACCATCAATTAAGCTTAGTGTCATGGAGGTGGTTAGGGGGAGTGATACGTTATGAGTTAAATTTTGACCATGTTGAGTTTGAGGGTTTTTTTTTTTTTCTTTAATATATTTTATTGATTTTTCACAGAGAGGAAGGGAGAGAGAGATAGAGAGTTAGAAACATCGATGAGAGAGAAACATCGACCAGCTGCCTCCTGCACATCTCCCACCGGGGATGTGCCCGCAACCCAGGTACATGCCCCTGACCGGAATCGAACCCGGGACCCTTCAGTCCGAAGGCTGACGCTCTATCCACTGAGCCAAACCGGTTTCGGCTTGAGGGTTTTTTTTTGTGGGATAATTAAGTGAAGTCCAATAAACAATTAAAAATAAACATCTAGGGCTCAAAAAACATTATAAAGCAAATACTGTGAGTTAAGATTTAGCAGAGTATGTATTTTTAGCAATGATTATAGGTAAAATTGCCCAGCAATAAGTGAAAGCCAAGGGACTTTGGGAAATGGGCTTGAAGACAAAGGCAGTGATTCATCTTTGTACTTTTAGCCAGGACACTAGCCTAGTCCCTGGCACAGAGGAGATGCTCAATAAATATTTATTTCATGACTTAGCAAATAAATGAGTGAATGAGGAAATAGAAGAAAGCCTAGGAAGCGACTGAGAGAGAGAAGTTAAAAAGATGACCGAGAACTAGCTCCTATGACTGATGCGTTCTGAGAGGAGTCATGGAGGAGCTCCGTGTTTTGTGGGTGATGGGAGACTGATCCTGAATATGCGTTCCTATTGGACCGGTGAAGTTTGTTGAGAGGATTCTAGATACCCAAGTGATAGCAGTTAGGATTGAATCAAGGTCAGAGAGTCAATGACATGTCCCATATGGATATTAAAAAAAGGGGGGGTTCCGTATGGGAAGCAACCTCAAGGGTGATCTAATCATAAATTCCTAACTGGGCAGGGCATGGTGGTAGTCATGGCCCAGGCCTATAATTGCTTTTGTGAAAGGTTTTAAGCCAGACCTTCCATTGTTCTTGTGCATTGAGGTTAACAGGCCTTTTAGATGCCAGAAGTAAACCCCCTCAAAGGGGGTGTTAACACTAAAGAAAGCACATAATCTTTGAACTGTCCTGACATCCAGTCCCCACCTTTCTTTCCCCAATCTTCCTACGTCCCCTCCTTAATTTCAAATGCATAGAAGAAGCTGCAAAATGGCTATTCTCCAGAGCATTTGAGACTCTGCTCCCCCCCAGCATGTGTTGTCCGTTTGGCTCAAATAAACCCATAAAGTTCTCTACAGGCCTGGATGTTTCTTACGTCCACAGTTGATTATATTCCTTGGTGTTCAAGTGAGCTTTTGACTCTGCTCTGTCTCCCTTCCCCTTTCATATCAGAGTTGGAGGGACAATTTGGAGCTCAAATATTTTGCCATCATTTTGTCAACAGAAAACTGTGTGGCACCAACTTTTCAAGATTTTGTTTTTATAAAGATGGAATTCAGATAGAGCCTTGCTACTTATATTCATTCAAATCAGAGCTTTAAAAATCCTGTTTTGCAGATTTTCTCTGGTCTTTTCCTTGTGGCATTTATACTCTGCATTCTTTGTTAGTGCTGAGGATGGCCTCAGAGGCCTCTTCCTATCATTGAGATATTTTCTACGGGTGTGATGGTTTGCTAGCAATTTGAGAACATTCAGTGAAGTATATGTTGCAGATATTTCTCCCATTGAAGTATATTATATAACAGTCTTATCAGAGAAATTGCCTAGATGTCATTAAACATCAGTGTTTTGGGATAAGATTGGTGGTAATACCACAAGAAGATCATTAAGTCAGGGAAGATAAGAGAGCATCCCCGAAAATTGAAGTATGCTTCAGCAACTATAATGAAAAGTCTTTCAAATAAATAAGGAGATAAGGACTAGCCATCATAGAAGGTTGCTGAATCTCATTCTCTTTAAGTAACGAGATATTTTTCTGATATAGCCTCTTGATTCTCTACTCCATTTAATCCAACAATTTAGTCTAGCACCTTATGTCAACCCATCATCCTCTAGGAGGGCTACTGAAACAGTCCTGCTTTGGTCTCTCCTCCCTTTTGCCCTCCTGCTCACTACCATCAAAGTACATTTTCTAAAATGCTTGTTTCATAATGTCTCTCTTGTGTTCAAAATCCCTC